GAAGAGGTGGTGACTGTTGGCCGTGGGATATAACGATCATGCTTGTAAGCTTCGCTGATGGGTTGAAAGCGTCATGGGAGAAGGAAAACCAGGGATAACACCAATGATTTGGGGCTGAGCCAGTAGTGGGTATTTTTAGGAGACAAGTTAAGTGGTTCCCCTTGAATATAGAACAATTGCTGCAACATTAGTCTTATTTCCATATACTGATAAGCTGCAGAGTGGGCTGTATTATTCTCTTCTCTCTTCAATTGGCTGTAAGTAATTCAAGTAAGGTCAGCACTGAAGCACTGAGATGTAATCTTTGGGGCCAATATTACGGTCTCCTGTTTCCTCAAATAGTGCTCTTTATAAAAGATCTGAGCGCAGCAGAATGGCAGAGACAGTCAGCTATAGGAATGTCAACTGGATAGGACCTCAAAGTAAGAGGTTATGACTCCCCAGGGCACAAATGTTTACATATCAGAAACTGAAGCAATGACCTCTTAAAACAATTTAAATGCTACTTTAACTGAATTATGCAGCTTCATCCCTCTGCATGTCATTCTTTGCAAATGGTGCTTTTCTCCGTACCTGGCTAGCCAGCTTAAATTATTCACATAGTTTCTGCCATTCTTTATATATATATATATATATATATATATATATATATATATATTGTGTGTGTGTGTGTGTGTGTGTGTGTGTGTGTGTGTGTGTGTGTCTTTTTCCTTTTTATCGGTACCGGGGACTGAACTCACAACTGCCTGCTTCCAAGGCAGGCGCTTATGCCGCTGAGCTAAATCCCCAGCCCCAAGTTTCTGCCATTCTTACTGTCGCTCATTCTCAAGCCACTCCCTTCTAGACAATATAATAAATCCTGGAGAGGTCTTGGATCAAGGCCTTTATCCACATATCCTCATTTGGATGGGGCTTAGGACCCCCTGGCTGCCCTTAACTTTGAATATGTCTTGGTGTCTTTACTCTTGCCATGGGTTGCATTGAATGTGGTAGATTGGAATTGGCTTGCTGGGGTTCCAATAATGTCTCACTGGGATTACGAATATAACTTTTTGGATTGTGAGGAAGATTAGAAAAGGGATTATAATACTTGGATTACAATACTCAATATTTGGATTACAATAGATATTGTTTTATTGAAATAGGAAAATCTGGAGGCAGGGAACTGATTTACAAGTGGGAAGAGATGAAAGAGTCTCTTGGAAATACCAATGTTGAGATCCCTATTAGACATCATATAGAAAAACAAGTCGAGGATACAATATACATTTGGAAGTCATCAGCATGTATATACTATGGGTATATAGGATGACAGTTAGAGATAGGGTCATGAGTTTGGCTATTGCCCAAAGAGTGATTATTGATAGAGAATTGGTTCAAACAGCAAGGAAACACCACATTTAGAAATTTGGGGCAACCCGCTTGGGACCCCTTCTGTCTCTTCAGACAGAAGCTTTCTCTTAATAAATGTATTCTGCTCTTAACCTTCATTGTTCCTAAAATTTATTCTTCAATTTTAGAGAACATGAGCTTGTACTACACATAGTAGGTTGAGAGTTGCATTCCCAAATATCATTTGGAGGTCTTCCACCGAGATCACTGGACAGAGACTTAAATCTGTGTGCATAACCATGATAAAAATGCCTGTGTCATTCAAGAAATGCAAATTAAAACAGCACTGAGATTTCATCTCACTCTGGAAAGAATAGCTGCCATGAAGAAATAAACTAATAACAAATGTTGGTGAGGCTGCGGGGAAAAAGGAACACTCTCCACTGTTGATGGGAGTGTAGACTGGTGCAGGCACTATGGAAATCACTATGGAGATTTAGCAGAAGACTAGGATTAAAAGTTTCATTCAATCCAGCTATTCCCCTAGTGGGTATTTTCCTAGAAAAACTAAAAAGGTCATGTCACAGTGATATATGTGCACCCATGTTCATAGCAACACAATTTGTAATAGCTAAATCTTAAAAACAACCAAGATGCCCATCAACTGCGTAGTGATGAAAAAAGATGTGGTATTTTTGTGCAATGAAATATTACTCAGTTATAAAGAAGGAGATCTTGAGGCCTTCATAGGTAAATGGAGACAACTTGAGACTATCCTCATAAGTGAAAAATAAGTCATATTTATAAATATCACATTGTGCCTCTACTGTAAAAACTATTAAGAACTGTAGGAGTAATAAAACCCAAAATGTGTAATTGCTATTATAAAAAAGAGAGGAAAAGAAAGTTCTCTAAAGGATATAACTGCATGTATGTTTAAGTGTATAGGATTGATAACCATATTGCTAAGTTTTTGTTGAATAGTTGAACAGAACTGTTTGCAGTCTCACTGTTTAAATGTCCACTTTGTATGCTTTAATTTTATAACTTGAACAACTGTTTCCAAGGAGTAGGAAGTGGGCACAAAAATCTTGATGAGAATTTTGAGAGTCAAAGGAAGCTAAGATAAAAATTCAGGCAGAATTTTTGTATTTTGAGGGGGACAATCAAATAATAAGGGATAAACAGTGCTGGAAAGGTGGGATAATATCAGGGCAAAGTTATTAAGTGGTTGAGAAAGCATGAAAATGGAATCTTATCTTACATTACATATTTTTATATTGTTATTTTATGTGATAGATGCCTTCTTTCTTTATACTGTAGGGTCAATTCTTATACGACTATATAAGTCTATATCAGTTAGGGTGCTTTTGATTATGATTAACAGAGAATGTGAATTAAGTTTGCTTAAACAATCAGCTGGGTTATGTCCACTGAAAAGTTCAAGGGAGAGACTTCTGTCAAGGCTTGATCCAGAAGCCTGGAGATGTTTCCACAGACTTAACCTTATTTCCTCCTTCTGCGCGGCTCTCCAATATGCTAGTTCCACCAAATTTGGCTCCCTGGGAAGTCTCAAGACGTCCTCCCACAGCTCTTGGGGCTATGCGTTTCTTCCCTATGTTGTTCCAGATAGAGAGCATCACATCATTCTCAGTAAAGCCCTGAGATTCATTTTTCGAAGACATAATTAGGTCCTGTGCCCAATCATTAACCAACTTTTGCAGTCATGCATAAGGAATGCAAAGATTGGTTGGAAAAACCACAATCAGTCAGATGCAGGGCTAACTTCTGCATCTGAATGAATGATAGCTGCATTGTATTATAACAGTACTAAACCTCCTCAGGCAACCACTGGAGGAAACTGACACACTGCTAAACATGTATGTCCTAGAACAAGTGAAAATGATCTTTGAGAATGACTTATTTACTATATGATGGCTAGAGACAATTAGTCATTTGAGATTAGATTATAGGCCATGGCTGTAACTAAGCTAAAATCTCTGGATTTTATGTCACTAGTTTCTTACATTTAAGCTAAATTTAGTTAATAATGTAAGGTTAAAAAATCTTTCTTTATAGCATTATAATTTACTAACAATTAGCTTCATAGGGCACATTACAGTAACAAAGTATAATTTGCTTTATTAGAGGGCAGTAGCTTCCACGTACTACCAATATAGTTTTCTGCTCTGCGCCTGCCAACAGCAGGACTGATTTTAACAGCAGCTGTTCTGTGTCAGCGATAAGGAGAGGTGCAGCAGTGTGAGGAGTGCTGGGCAGTTTCAGAGCCTTGAATTCATTCCCACTCGGGTTTCTAATGAATTCCTTCCATATGAACCTCAAGATACCTCATCAGTACCCACACCTGCTTAGGTCTGCCAAGCTTCCTTTAATGGGATAGTTCAGATTCCTTAGATTACGAGGCCAGGGTATTACATAATGCAGCAATTATTCTTGGCAGGGCACTACCTGGCGAGACACTTGCTCTTAAACTCACCCTGCCTCTCATGTGGGGCTCTAAGTCCTTTGTCCCAAAAAGTCTGTATGAACAAGAAGTCAGGGTCATGGCTATTGCAGCTGTCTTTGAGGAGACTGCTTTTCTTTTTTTTTTTTTTTTAAAGGTTCAGCCTCTCCAGCATTGGCACAGACTGAGTATGGCAAATAAAACTGACTAAATAAACCAACTGGTGATCCATTCCCTTTACTGTCTCCTACTGGCTACCATTTTTTTCAGACTCCCATTTTTATAGGAACATAGTTTTAAAAGCTTTGCTCATCCTTCTGTAGGACGTGGTGTTACATTGAACACTTCATATTTTGTGTGGCTGAAATGCTTACACATTTTCTGTAAAGAAACAAATTTAAAATTTATGAACAGCTGAATGGTGCACTGTCTTTGGTCATTTTTGTGCTTGCCCAGCGTTTTGGGGGGACCAGTTCCAGGTGAGCATGCCATCCAGATGGAAGCAGGCTGGTCTTCCACATCGGGAAGTGCAAGTGGCCCAGCTAGGCGCTAAGAACTTCATGTCATTAGAATCTTGGAGACAGAACAAAGGGCTAGACCCACAAAGAACTGCCAGTCTAGAAATCTCATTCCACTTCTCTTTTACTATCTTTTTATCTAATTTCCTTTCAGCATAATAATGTAAAGACTCTGTTTTTTCTTTAACATTCATATACAACTCTAATCTTTGTGGGAAGAAAGCTCACCAAGTCTGCACTGGATTGCAGTATTTCTTTCTTACGAGGCTGCATCCCAGCCCATTGCTATGGGATTTGTGGTGCTTTCCAGTGGCAGAGTATGTCAGGCTTCCACACATCCCTTGCTGGGGTCAGCAGCATGTGAACAGAAGTGACAATGGGCCAGTATGTTTAAGAAGTTTTAAGGGGTGGCATAAAGCTTGAAGCTAGAGCTGCATGCTCCCACCATTCCCATTTTCCTTTTGCCCTGATCCAAACAGAGACTTCTTTGTTCTTGGTCTTGCAATGAGAAGACATTACAAGGAGTTACAGCCAGTCTGTAGTTGCCGAAATGCAACACAAGTAAAGAATAAAGGTATATCCTTTGAAGCTATGAAGAATTTTAGGGCCATTTGTTACTACAGCAGATCTAATTATGCAAAGATCAATCATGCGTAATAAAGGGAAAGTAAAACATACACAATTAGTCTCATTTCCCAAGTCACCTTTATTTCTATAAAAGTATACTGAATAAATTATCTCAATATATACAAATAGAATCTATATAAATAGAAAATCCCAATATATAAAACCTTTTAAAAAATTACATAAATATATACAATGTTAGCCATATAAGCTTTAAGTACCTTAGATCATAAACTTTATGTACTTTCTGTTATTAGTAGTCTTATAAAAATATAGTTAGCTGTCAGATGTTTAATAAACACCACTTGAGTCAGTTAAAGTGCTAAACTGTAATGCATATTAAAAAGGTACCCAAAATAGATATCCCCTGTATTAACACAGTATAAAAGTTTGCCAATTGCTCTGAACTTACAAAAGTACTCTTAGAAATAAAAAAAAGAATCTAAACACCATATTATAAAAGAACAGATGTACATTTAAATTTTGTACCCAATTTTCATTTTGCTTTCCAAAATCATTTGAAGTCAGTCTCTTGAAAGTTCTTCCAAAGTCTACCCTGGATATTTTCAGGCATCTGTTCAATTGTTTTTACCCTGGTGGCCTAGTTTCTTTTTGAGCCCAGAATATACATTCTAAGGCATGATAATGTGCAAAATGTGCCATAGTGTTACAAATTAAAACAACATGGAATTGGTTGTACCGTTTGTTACATTCCAAAGTGAGTGATGCTGATGTCAAAACCAGAATGCTAAGTGTAGTAACAGGTCATATAAGGAGGTTTTCTGAGCCCAAAGGGCTTCATGCACCATGCCCATTTGGGCTTACACACATTCTCTGAGACATTCTTGGTCACTGTGCAATGCAGCACGTGCAGGAATCAACTCTAACTATGCTTCTTCCTTTATGCAATGTTCACTGGTGAGCCCTCCTTCCCACTCTGCCTCGCTTTGGCTTTTCTGCACTTGCACACCAACAGGAACAGGGCAATGACAACGATGATGACCAAAATCACTGGTACCACGATGAACAACATTTCTGAAATGCAAAAGGCACCATATCAACTTGGAGAGCTCAGATTCCATTTACCAACAGGCACAACTGATAACATGACTCCACAGCACGCCATCTAGCCTTTGTACAATCTCAAAGTTCTTTCACTCTTTCTACCACATTTATATCAGGAAACAATTTGTCAAAACTTGTATGTTCCAGAGGAATGGACCATGGTTAGAAGCACCAAATGAGCCACTTAATGATGTCCTCAGTCTAGAAAAGATACTGAAAGTAAGAACAGCTGTGGGAAATGTGGCTTCAGATGCTGTTGAGTTTGGTGGCAGTGATTTTAGCAGAAGATATATGGCAAGGGAATAAAGAGAGATTCAAAATGCTACCAGGATGAGGTGAGGAGGAAAAGGTAACTGGCAGGTCAGCATGGTAACTTCTTAGTAGAGAACACCTTAAAACACTTTTCAAAGGATACATTTCAGCAAACAAAGAAGAATCAGGGGAGGAAGTGACCAGACAAAGGTAGAGCTGGCAAAATTAGAGTGGGTTTTATTTTTTTAATTTTTAAAATTTTAAATTTTATTGCTTTAAGTTTTATTATCTTATTACGATTATCTTGGGAAGTGGTTACATGTACATAATACCTCTTTCCTTCCTTCCTTCTTTCTTTTCTTTCTCTTTCCCCTTCTCTCCCCTAGAGTGGATTTTAAACACTGAACATGAATGCTATAAGGATGCCCCAGAGGAGTGCAGGACCAAAGTAAAAATGTCACCAACAGCAAGAGGAATGAACACTCTTACTTGTTTGTTTGGTTTTTTTTTTAACACAACAGTTTCTATTGTTTGTTCTTTTATAATTTTGATCAAGACACGTAATTGTCTATTTTTTGTGCCTATCTAATTTTTATATTTGCTTTTCTCCTTTATTTGACACGAGAATAGAAGTTTTATGCATTCTGAAAATTGTTCACTAACAAAGATTCATGCTTAGTATAGGGTTGGGGCTTAGTAGAAGTTTTCTTTTTTTTAAGTAAATATTATTTAAAAGTGTTTCTGTAGTTTAAAACTTTGTCTTTACAAGGAGCTAGGTGGGCCATGACTGTCCTCCGAGGCTTTGGTTCCACAAGAGCACTCAAATCTGCAGGGAGGCTGTGAGGCAGAAGGGACACTCATGCCGTCAGCTTCAGGCAATGTACAAAAACCAGAGGTATCTCCACACCATGCGTGGCAACAGGTCATGGTGGTGGACACATGAGCTGGTCCATAAATTACTTCCCCCAGGATCAGAGCATCAGCAGGAAAAAAGCCCAAGGAAAGTGGTCTTTTTTTTTTTTTTTTTTTTTTTTTTGGTACCAGGAATCCAACTCAGGACCTTGTGATTACCAGCAGCCGACGTGCTACTGAGCTATATCCTTGGTCCCAGAGCTGTGTCCTAAATATATTGTAAGCTCAAGGCTTCAGAGAGTTTAGCATGTAGTAAATACTTAGGGAAACACTTGCTAAAAGCAAGGGAACAACACAGAATCATTCCCAAAGGTCCAAATCCTAACAGAATACAAATGTTAACAAACTGAAGGCAGTTTCCGCCTACAGGATTAACAGAAGAGGTGCGTCTTGGTTCTGAGATGGGGCATCCAAGGCTCCCAGGTGAATGACAGTTTGGCCACATACCTCTGAATTTTCCTTTCTCTTGTCTTGTACACACAGTGATGCTTTCTGGACTCTTCTTGTTATCTTTTCGGGATGGAATCACAGCTTGAACAAAGAAACAGTAATCTTGTCCTTTATCCACATCAATCAAAAACTCATTAGTGTTTGTCATGGCTGTTTTCTGTGAAAAGATAGAGAGTTCTTTGTTCATCTGGGCTCCATGTGAATGCTTTTCCTTTTTACTAAGTCACTGTGGAAGTAAAAACCTGGGCTCCAAGAAAGTCCACACGGATACACCTGACACCTGACGAATGAGAAGTGACTTGGCTAATTGATTACCCCTGATATCTACTAATGATGCCTTTTCCAAGAGTGAAAATATCCAGTTTAGGCAGGGCAGCCCAATTCAGCCCCTTTAAAAATATCTACAGGAAAAGAAGGAAGATTTACTTACTAAGCAGAAGGTAAGATTTTGGGGCTGGGAATGTATGTCAGTGATAGCATTTGTGTGGCATGGGTAATGATCCACAGCTTCACACAAAACAAGAAAGGGAAGGAAAGGAAAATGAGGGAGAAAGGCAGGGGAGGAAAGACAAGAGATTAAGTCTTGTCTCTTAGATTGTCAAGGAAGAGATGTGAAATGTGAATTGACAGCACCTCAAAAGATGACCTCATCCCCCTCCTTGGCTAAACAAACTGGTGGTCCTAGGGGGTTCTTGTGCCCAAGTCACAAAGAAGCTCAGCCATGGGCAGAACCGGGACCTGTGATCCTGCCCCCTCCCACTCTACCATACTACATGCTCGACCACCCTGTTCTGCTGTGTTTGAATTGGGGAAGAAGTGGGCTGTAAAAGTAAAGAATCCATAATTTAAAACAAGGTATAAGATCAAATGAAAAAAACCTCACCTTTCCTGTAGTTGAACTTCTCCAATAATAAAGCATATACTGTAAATTTTTGCCAAAAATATCCCGAAGGCTTAGGAAAGTGCCATTGCTTCTGGCTAACGTCTGTGTATCGCGTACTGTCACATTCAGTTTTGTCCCAACTAGTTTAAAACTCTCAATTTTCGGCTGTCCAAGGTTTGCTGAAATGTGGAAAATGGGCTTGGTTGTAACTACACAATTCTATCCAGAATAAACCTTACTTAGTTACCACAGTTACCAACTCCATCATGTCTTACAGAAAACACTGGCACAGAATCAGCTCTGGGTAGCAATAGCTGCGGTGGCCTTAGAGCTAAATCCTGAGACTCCAGTGCAGTGTCATTCAATGGGAATATAATAGGGGTCTCAGGTAAAGTGTTAAATTTATTTATAGGTACATTAAAAAAAAGAATAGGTAAAGTTACCTTTAATAAACTTTAAGGCAATTATATTTACAATATTATCATTTTAGCACATAAGTATATAAAAACTGAAATATTTTACATTTTTCAAAATCCAATGTGCATTTTACACTTACAATATTAGCCAAAGTTCAAGTAAGGGCCACTAGATGGAACAGTGCAGTTGTACAAGATTCTGTATCTTAGGCAGAATAACTTAAGAGCTGTGGGAAAGCCTGGGAAACGTCCTTAGTACATCAAGGAATCGGTTTTTATAGTTAGATCTCTGTGATGACTCAATTTTGTCTTATGTGCTTTGGTTGAATGATAGCAAAACTAAGCCCAATCATTTACCATAATATGCCAGCCACAGGGCAAAGTATATGCAATGATGTGTGCACAGACATAAAATAAGCATATAGAAGCCGAGTCTCTTCTCTTAATAATATGCTACATGTGGTCACTTAAAATGCTAGCTCAGAACCACAGCCATGACGAAGAAATCTGAACTGCCTTCTTGGTGGGAATCCTCTGCATTCCCTCATTAGGTCTTAGGTGGGCAAAGCTGGGGAGCAGAAGGCTTATTCCCATTTTGAGAATCAGCATAGGAGGAAAGCTGAGAACTGGATGGTGCTGGCACATGGGATTCAAATCAAGTTCAGCTGATTGAAAAAGTCAGCAAGCCTAATTACAGGCTCAGTGAGAAACTGTGGGCTTCCCTATGGATTGGGGACCACTTTGGAAAAATCCTAAACTGGGATTTTTACTCTAATGAGGGATAGAAAATTCAAGAGATGTGATGGGCATGGGGAAAAACTGAGGACCCAGCTTCAGTAAGTCCAAACCCTACACATATTTCAGTCATTCCTGGGGGAAGACCAGCGGAGAAAGTTATTTGATGATACCTGTTACCAACTTTAAAGTTCACATTTTGTGAAAATCCTACCACATCTAGAATGAGTGAAGTTTCTGGGAAAGAAGGTGTGTGTATGGACATACACATTAGACTAATGGCCCCTAGAGGTCACAAGACACAAGGATACTGAGAAACTTAGAAAAACAAAAATGAAAGTATTATAAACTGAGTTACTTACTCTCCTGGTAAGGTGTAAACTCTGGGGAATTACTATAGACAGCGTCCTCAAGAAAACCGGTGCTGTTTGGCAAGAGGGAAATGACCCTTGCCAAGTATGTCTGTTGCACGTTTGGAGCCATCTCACTGGTGAGGTCACACTCCGTGGCTGTTATGGAGAAGCATATGCTTTTCCAATCTTCTAATGCAGTGCTACAGAAAGGAAAGAAGAAAGAGAAGTGGAACATTATAAACTACATCCAGCAAGATGGATCATTTCCAGCTGTGTAGCTCGCGCTAAGGTAAAGTGCCCACGACCCACCCCGTGGAGGTGCTCGCTATGCTGAGCATTTAAGGTGCACGCAAGTGAGTTCCCATAGCAACCAAGAGCAGGCTCAGTACAATCCTGACTTTACAGATAAGGGAACGGTTTCTTACAGTCTATTACTATATTATGTTATGTTATGTTTGTTCCATCGTGTTTTATATATATAGAATACATTAGCCTCCCAAGTAGCTGGTATTACATGCATGCACCACTGTATCCAGTTTATTCTGGACACAGTAGTTATTTCATTTGATATAACTCTTATAAGTTACTGGATTTTTTTTTAATACATGCAGACTTGGAGGCTCACAAACAAAAAGTCAAGTGACTAAAAGTGGAAGAGTTGTGTCTGTTTGCCTCACAATACTGTATACTAGATGCAAATATGAGATGTGAATACATCTCACAAAGGTTATAGAATTACAATACATGTAGTATCAGGACAACAAAATCTGAAATGACTTCCATGAAAAGTGATAAAACTCATTGCTCTGGGCTTGAAGCATGATCTTGGCAGAGTTCAACCTATCATTCGAGGGGAGGCTCCAATACTGCTTTCTTCAGGAATCTCTGTATTACCTTGCTCTGCATTAATTTCTCCTTTTCTGTTCCCTAACACCACACTGTCACCAAAGCCCTTAATATAGCATGTTATCTTTGTACCAGGGTTCCTAGCTCTTGTGCTCTCTTGCCAAGCAGCAGAGCTTCAGGGCTCTGCTACATGTGAGATGTTTGTTTGCCTTTACAGGATAAATTAATACATCATAGAGTGAGGATCTCCTTACGCATTCAATGTCTGAAGTCAAATACTGTAGCTATAAATACAATTCTTTACATCTCTGAATTAAATAACTGGCCTAAAAGGATCTAGGTAAGCACATTCTTTATTCCAAAATTCACAAAGATTAACATTGGAATATTTTGACTTCTTATGTTTCAAAAATTTTCTATGATAAACATAGAGAAGCTACGGTGGTCCAGAATGACCAACATACATTTTCATTTTATCTCTTCCATGACAAAAGCAAATGAGAACTTGATTCCTCCATTACTACAGCAAACAAATCATTCAGTGGCTGGGCTCTGCAGTGGGGACAAACTTCTGCAAGAAGCTGTACTTGGTTCCTTCCACCGCAGAAGCAAAGACCAAGAGCTCTATGGCAAAATTTAGCATGAAGTTGTAAGTAGTGAAATTGTATCAATAGGTAACAAAATGGAAATCCTGTAGTGAAGGCCTCTGAATGTCATTAACAGTATCAGTACTTTAAAAGCCTTCAACATTCCTGTAGGTAATGCAAAACCCTCAGATTTGGAAATAAAAGTCCTCTTGAGTTACTAAAGACTTCCGATAGAATATATACTATTATTCATTTAATTGCAGGTTTTCTGGAAGCTTTATTAATTCGGCTTTAGAATAGAACATTCCATGGAATCAATATTACTGGTGATGGTCTGGTGCAAAGGCTTTAGCCAAGAACAAGTCCCAGACATCGCTGAAATCCACTTTCATTGGGAAAAATGCATTTATGAGAGGTGGTGGTAGTGAGGACAGTGGGTGGCACAGGTTAGGGAAAACAGGGAGGGAAAGAGGCCACAGACGGGCCAGGGTGCCAAGGCTTTCCTCCTGTCTCCCTGTTTTGGCTCGTATCTGCCTTGCAGAGTCATGGGAAGAGATCACAGTAGAGGTCACTAGGGAGACTGTGGTTCCAGCTCCACATAGACACTAACGGACAGTGAGGTCACTGTAGATCTCTCACTTTCCAGAGCAAATTTCTTTATCTAGAAAATGACTGCTGTGATCCTTTCAGCCCAGAACCCCTTGGAGGAAGTTGGAGGACAGTTAGGGAGGAGAACCTGGTCTCAGGCAGGGGCTGAGGAGGTGATCTGAGGACCTTCAGTTCAGCACAAGAGCATGGGGAGGTCATCCTGGCTTACAGAGGAATCTTGACCCACACATGTATTTCCATATGTTGTTGAAACACAACATTAAATATATTTTGAGCTGGGTGTGGTGGTTCACACCTGTAATCCCAGCAGTTGGGAGGCTGAGGAAAGAGGATCATTGTGAGTTTGAGACCAGCCTGGATTACAACGGGAGCTCAAGGCCAGGCAGAACTACATAGTAAGACCTTATCTCAAAACAAAACAAACAAACACAAACAAAAGTCATCAAATGCATTTAGGAGGTAAGCATGCCTCGTAAAATCTAATTTTCATTATGTAGAAGGAAAGTGTTTCTGAAAGTAAACTTCAGTTCTGTATCAAAGAAATTAATTACCAATTCTCTACTTGAAGAAACTGAATTCACAAGTCTGACCATAAATGCAATATTATAATCATGATATCGGGCTCTGAAATTCCTTTATTATCTCTCTTTTTCCATATATATACAATGATATATATATACACAATATACATATATACATATATATTATTTGTAATGCTAGAATTAGTTATTTATTTTCTTTGATACAGACCTGAAGTTTACCTTGGGAAACACTTTTCTCATATATATGTATTTGTGTGATACATGGATGTATGCACACATACAAATCCTCTTCCCTGTTGGTTTGGCAACAGTTATAGAGTTCATTTTGAAAAGTAAGAATGTCCACCTAAAAGACCTACCCTAATCCTGTAAGTCACATTCCTAATACTATAAAGGCTTGACACACACTGAAACAATAAAATATCAAAACACCATAATTTTTGCCAGTGAAAAATTTTTATGTTGTCTATTCAATTAGTGTTAAGATAATTCTCCAGCCAGTACTCTATCTCTTAGGATCTCTAGCAAGCCTCCTAGAATATTTCAGAAACCAAAAGCTGCCAAGAATATGTTGTAAACCATCAAGGAAAACACGTTTCGAATTCTTGACACTGAGATAGAATGTGCTGAATTACTGGCTCCTGGGGAGAGCTGTCAATCAGAGATGAGGCACCGAACACAGCAACCCCAGACAGACAAAGGTATAGACGATGCAGTTGTTCTCCGGTCTTTCTGTACTACTCTGTGAGTCAGGAATTTGGCTTTCTCTGACATCACATACTCAACTAAATGTTAATTCAGGGTCCAAAGATTAATGAATCAAACACTGCTTAAGGGCAATACACATATTGGAATTCCTCTGTGCCTCTTGACTAACATATTTAAAGTAGCTCACAGTCTAGACAGCTTGGCAAAGGAAAAAGGATGTCTGTTCTTAAATAAGATTAGTTATACAGATCCTACAGCATGCTATCAGTGTCTGCTTATGAGGATTCACCTTGCCTTGGCTTATACTCCACTTACCAATTTCTCCATCATTTCCCAAAACAGTTAAGACGTTATACCAATTTAAGGTCTAAAAATGTTGGAGGCTTGATAGAACTTGACACTGGATAGCAAATAAATGCCCCCTTCTTTGTTATTGCCTAATTTTATCCAATAATCAGCTTTAAAGACATCAGTATTCAGCACAGGAAACTAGAAACATGAAAAATTTCTATTTCTCTCTCTTTCTCTGTGTTTCAGACCTAGCTTACCTTATCTGAACAGTGTAGACATTATTGATGGGTTTGGGTTCCCACTCCAAGATTGTCTTGAAATTAGTTGATTTCCAAGTTAAATTATATGGCTTAACTGGAATGCCTTCGAACAACAGAGAAACAGCTGTTATTATATGCACTTTTTAGGCCGTGACTTTGCACTGACAGTGTACTCCTCACCAGTCTCCCATCACCATAAACTTTACATTTTTGTTTTCAGTCACAAAAGTTTTGCTATTTAATTTTTAATAGAAAAAAATCTTCAAGTATTTCCTAGATACTTCCTAGATCCTTGTAATACAGGGAACCAGGCAAGGATCTGAAATCCTTGTGTGCCGTTATTCCTGAGGAAAGCCCGGTAACAAGGGCAGACAGGACAGACAGCCTAAGAGCCATCAACACCACAAGATATCTAGGATGGATAGGACTCAGGCTCAACTCACTCCGGGAAGGTTAGCTAGGTTTTCAATATGTTAGGGAAAAGAGTAAATCTCACATGAATGAAGAGGGTTACAATGCATACAAGTGAAGAAAAGTCAAATGTGTCCTTTTTTGTACTGAAATTCCCACTGAGACCAAGCTGGGCCAATGTGGCCCGTCACACAGTCTTGGGGTCTGATGTGCTCCGTTAAGGCCCTTACCCCAAACACCAAAGACGCAAGGGCCATGCACAGTATGGTGCCTGGTCCAATCCAAGCAACATTTTGCAATACGATTGCTTCTACCCAATCTAAAAGACCACCAAGATGCTCTTTACTAAGAGAAGATGAAAGACAGCATCCAAGCCGAGGATGGCACGCGGACCTATGCAAACGTGGACCTACTTCTCATCACCTTCAAGGTCACAGTTCGCTGGAAAGCTCTTTTCTTAAAGCTAAAGCGGGAGCCAAAAATCCGCTTATGCAGCAAAACGGGTGCACCTAGCAAAGGTCTCTAGCGGAAGGAGCAGCAGGCTTCTGAGCGCAAACTACCTCATTCGGGCGCCCCTAGGTAAAGCGCGGGGCAAGGGCGCTCAAGGAAGCACCGCACCCCGCTGTCAGCAGCACCGCGAGTCCTCCCCCGGCGGAGCGCCCTGGCCTTCCCGGCACGAGGGCCACTCACCTTCAGCACCCGCCACCTGGACAAGGACCCAGCCGAGCAGGAGCGTCGGAACCACAGCGATCTCGAGGTGCGGGAGCCGGGGCCAGGCAGGGGTCGTCATGTCCACGAGAGGGCGGCGAGGTCCTTTGGGTTTCGTCGCGGTGCTCGGAGGCTGGGAAGTTGGGGTTGCAGGGGCCCCAAGGCGCAAAAGGGGCTCTGGGGAGCGCGGAGTCTGTGGGAGCCCCCTGCCCCGCGCGCTATAAAAGGCTGAGCGCACGCCCGCGCCTCTCAGCCCCGCGCCCGCTCCGCCCCGCGCCGCCCGCCTCCAGCCCCCCACCCCCGGCCTCCGTCACGCGGTCCTGCCCTCGCGGGGGGCGGCGCCGGGGAAGCCCTGCCTCCCCGCGCCCCCTCCCCTTAGGAAACTCCGAGACGGGCGCGGGTTGACTCATCAGTGATTCAGTTGCGCCGCTGAGTGCCGCGCTAGCCTAAGGTGCAGGCGGGCCGCGGTTCCTCGGGGACCGGGATGTGGCTCCCTCCCCAGTCCCGCACGCCTAGCCTGGGTGACCCGCAGGCTTAAGAGGGGGGGAAGGAAGGGGCACGCTGGAAACAACTCTTCGGTTGGAGGGAAAAAGTCCTTTCCCTTCTTTTGGCGATGGTGTTGTCTGGGCCGGTGGAGTGGCAGCATTTACAGCGTTTTGGGCTCCGCGCGGGCAGCCAGGGGCTGAGGCTCTGCAGATGCAGAGGAGCGCGGTGGCGAGCACGGTCCTCTGGCAGCCGCGGTTCCTTTTCTACCCCAAGGTGCGCGGCCACCTGACCCCCTGTCTAACCTGTCCTTAGCGCGAGCATTGTGCAGGGTGCTGAAAATGCAGGTGTCTGCCATAGATACAAACGGCCCTTGGCCACGGGTCTGAAGGCCAGTTGGCTCAGGCGCCACGAGGTCCACCTCTGGATAGTAGCTGAGGAACGGCAGCCTGGAATCTGGAAGTTTGCCTCTGGGAGAATTCCAGGGTAACATCTGCAGCGCTGTGGTTCCAGAAAGGATGGTTCTCACATTGAAACAGACATTTGTGGGATTGCGTGAGTTCCGTCCAACTGCACAAAAACCAAAAATGAAATTGAAAACTACATCCGATTTTCAGACTACTGACCCCTCCGCCCCCGCCCCCGCCCCCGCTGTAAATGCTGGGAATTATTGAACCCAGAACTCTACACATAGTAAGGACATCTATACCACCGAGCTACTATGTACAGAAGCTTAATTCTAAGCTTCGTTGTTAGTAATCATCTTCTTGTGTGGCAGAGAGAGGAGCTTGTGGATTTTAGTACACACTGCACACGTTTTCATATAGCCTGCAAAGCGACAGCATTGTATGATTCGTTTTAAATGAAATAAACGTGACAAGAGTTTGATTTTCTCCGTTTGTTGAGCCGAGACATCAGCTTCAGCCCATGCTGCCTTTCCTAGAAGCGGAAAGCTTCTGGTTTCCTCTTTGACCCTTTTTCCAGCTGTGCAACCCGCAAAGTTTAGATTTGCAGAACTTAGTCTACGATTTTTTTTTTTTTTTTCAGTCTTTGGTCTGAGTCATTTTCCCTAACAGAGCTTTAGACCCACCAGGGATGCCATGCTTTACTTTTTGGAGCTGAAGATGTTTAAAAAGAATTTGATACACTTCATCCCACGTTTTGAGACCCAAGAAACCAGTGCTATCTTTTGCAGTTATTCCATTTGGAGTCACTGACAGGCCTGAAATTATGTGAGAGGGCTTTATGCAATGTCAAGACAGGCAGTTTGATGTGAAAAATATATGACATAAAAAGTGCCATAAGTGTTAATAAATTCGATGATTATTTCAGATGGCCACCAACACTGTTAGATAGGGAAGGGAGGAATTTTCTGGGTGTTTGCATGAGCTTTTGAGTAAATATGGAATGATATCTTCCAACTTTGAAAAATGCCAGTATTATTACTATTTTCTAAAAGAGAAAGAAAAAACCTGGCCATGGTAAATAATGTTTCATAGCAAAGATTTTCCCTAGCTGATAGCCAGACAATTTACAGGTGCTTTTTGGCACCACTGGAAAGTACATTCTTAAAATGTCGCTGCTCATGTTTACTGTGCAGGAAACAATTATTTGTCTTATTACCTGTCCTCACACAATAATTTTTACTCCCTTCGGTGAAGTTAAGCTCTGATAAATCTTGGAGGTTGTGAGAAATTTAAAAAGTTATTAAACTTTCATGATAATCACACTGGCCTGACAAGTCCTTTCTGATTCCATCTTAGAGTGTGCAGGGTTGGAGAGGACCTAACAGACATCATCTTCAAATGGGAATCCCGGGACCAGCTGGCTTGAGTGAACAAGCTCCCTCAATTACACATCAAGGATCCAGCCCCAGGGGCTTTCCTTACTAGAACATGCATTCTACTCCCAATGCATGCAAGTAGGGTGTGTCATAAGTCCATTAATGACTAATTCATCCTGCATAGGTATTCAACAGTGTTCTGCAGTTACTGTAGAAGACACTTGCAGTACGAGGAAATTAGCACTCAAAGCAGAAATCTCCTGTGGATTCTTTGAAAAATGCATGCATGGAGGCACGCAGGAAGTTTGAATTCACTTTGCATAATGAGTGATGAAATGTGGTTGAGGAGGAGTGTAAAGATGACTGGAGCACTATTTCTGTTCTTCCGCTGCACGATTATAGTATTTGTTGCCTACTTTACCAACTAAATTTCATCAAGCACTTTACTTGATTTCCTGTTAGTCTTCCCCATTTGAGTTCTTTGAAGTAATAGGAAGTAGGTTGTTTGTTTACATCTTTCAAACCTTTGCACAATTACCAGTATAGAGTACACATTTAATAGTTTTAAATCAATGAAAACTTAATGGGACGGTACAAGTAGCTAAATGTTTTCATTATTGATCAAGAAGTGAAATTTGTCACTGAAATCTTTCTGTATCAGGACCAGGCAGTGATTTTCATAATGCTTAGATTATTAGAAAAATGCAAATCCATCCTGAATCTGAATCAAAGGCAGGTCCCAAATGTCTACCTGGTAATTGATGATTCTTCTTGCAGCCAGAAGATATAATCATAAGTTTGGGAACTGATTTAATTTTTTTATTTTAAAAAGAATAAAACAAAACACAATAAAGCAAATCAGGACAGAACAAATTCAAGTGACATAGGACTTCAAAACATGACAACAGGAAATCAACAATGGCTACCATAATGTCTCTGATTTTTTTCAAAATAGCTATCCATACCATCACACACAATAAAATCAAACAAAACAAAACCAATAAAAACAAAAGAATGAAAGCATTACAGGACTTCAAAACAAGATGACAGGAAATGAAAAATGGTTACCCTAATGTCTGGTTTTCTTCAAAATAGCTGTCCATAGTATCACACATAATAAAATCAAACAAAACAAAACAGAATAAAAGCAATCAAAACAAAAGAATGAAAGCATTATAGCACTTCAAAACAAGGTTACAGGAAATAAACAATAGTTATAATACACCCTGTTAGCTTCAAAATAGCTGACCATACCATCAGACACAGTAAAATTTCACAAAACAAGAGAGAATAAAACCAAACCTAACAAAATTATGAAAACAGTATAAGAATTCAAAACCAGATAATAGGAAATTAACAGTTACCAATTCTCCCTTTTAGGAGTTTCCTCCTCTTTCATAGTATCTGTTGTGCTTTCTGGATCCTACCAACTCCTTCAGTTTTTTTATGCTAGGGAGATAAGACGGTGTTTACCCACGTGAGTCCAAACCATTTCATCCATGAGCATGATTTCCAGTTGTATCCATTTATCTACAAGTGCCTTGAGATTATCGTACTGTATAACTGGGTAGCTATTCGTCGTATGAAAATACTTTATAAGCAAGTTGCCTTTGCTTTTTTTCTGGTCTCCTGTCATGAAGAACAATTGTTTTTTCTCCTTTGATTTTCAGTCTATGAATTTCCTTCTGAGTTAAATGTGTTTCTTTCATACAGTATATTGATGGATATTGTTTCTTGATCCATTCTCCCTGGTTTTCTTTTTATTGGTGAATTGAGGCCATCTGCATTAATGGTTCCCGCTGGTGTGCACTGGTTCATCTCTGTCATGCTCTTCTCCTGCTGTTGGCCCTCCACGTTTCCCATTCATTCAATTGCCTGTCTTGTTTGGTGATCCTCCTCTGCTGCTGTTCCTGGAACCTTTATCTCTCTCTAGAATATCCTTCAGCACTCTCTGTAGGGTTGGTTTGGTGGTCATGAATTCCTTCAGTTGTTCTTTCGCATGGAAGTATCTTATTTTTCCATTAATTTTGAAAGATAGTTTTGCAGGGTATAGCAATTTGGGTTGGAAGTTGTTTTCTTTTAGGATTTGAAACACTTCATCCAAACTCTTCTTGACTTGATGGTTTATATTGAGAAGTCTGCTGAGCTTCTGATTGGTTTTCCTTTATAGGTGATCTGTTTCTTTTCTCCAATAGCTTTTAATATTGTGTCCTTATGCTGAATTTCTGAGATCTTGATTATTATTTGCCTGGGTGTAGATTTATTTTGATTATGGCTAGCTGAAGTTCTATATGCTTTGCATATATAACTGCAGACGTATTCCAGATCCTTTTCTAATATTTGGGAAGTTTTCTGTTATTACTTCTGTAAATAGTCTTTTATTTCATTTATGTTGACCTCTGCTTTTTCATTGATGCCTATCACTCTTAAATTTTTTTTTCTTTGCATTATGTTGCAGCTGTTGAATTGTTAGTTCCTGGTTCCTTATTATTTTTAAGAGATCTTTCCTTTCATAATTGCTAACTGAGATCCTGTCTTCAAGTTCTGAAAGTCTATCTTCAGTCTCTTTCAAGTGGTTTTGCTAGCTTTCAATTGACTTTTTAATTTCCTGCATATCTCTTTGAAGCTGTTTCATGCATTGTAATTCCTTTTCTATATTGTTCATTCAAGGTTTCCATCATTTTCCTATGCTCTTGTTTTTTCTCTGTCTTCTTTTGATATGCTCAACAATCCTTTCATTATGTTTGTGATTTCTTCTTTTACCTGAGACATTATTTCTGATTTGATTATTTTTAAAGTCTCATGAAGTTGTTTCTTTACTTCAGTTGTTATCCTCTAGGAGATTTCAGGTGTGTGACTTCCATTTCCTTCCACGACTAGCTCCCAAACTTGTTCTGTGTGGGCTGGAGTCTGAGATTGTCTTTTGTTCTT